GACCACCCGAGCTGGATAATCTTTTCCAAGGAAATTCAGAGAATGATCCCCTCTGAACAAGAATGAAGCTACTGAGGCCAAAAAAACCGATCGAATCCCAAAGAATGAATGACTTTCTTACAAGAATCAGTCTTGGATCAGTTAATTTCCAAGTTTCTGACTTGAACCTGCCATTCAGTCCAAAAACTTTCTGTTCGGCTTTCCGCCATGTGTTATCTACTTTGTTTACCCTTTTCAAAGAGCCTAATTCAATAGCTTCTGGTTGGAGTAAGCGGGTCGTAGTCATAAGCTTCACCAGCTTTGACAAATCTCCCCTTCACACGCCGTCTCACATCAGCTCTTGCTTTGCGAGAAGCATACCTCACTCTCTTATCAAACCTATTTCAAAGAAAAGTCTCATTAGTAAGCCTGCATTTAAAACTTCAATGATGTATGTACTGCATTTGTAGGGCGAGTACGAGCACTTACTTGCGAGCCTTCTTCTTTTCCTTGTAACGCATAACCGCATTATTTCGGGTTACTGAATGTGAGCAAGCATTATTATCCTGTGATGTTTGAGGATACCATGGTGGCTCGCCTGAGAGCTGCATCGAAGAAGATGCACCACATTCTTGGAAATCTCCAGCACTACTTTCTCCTGTGACTCCAGAGAAAGAGATGTTCGAATGTGCTGGCTTCGATGTGAAGCAGATTATTGGCTCGGTTTTCGAACTCATGAATGAATCATTGCTGTCAGTTGGCTGCACCGTATTCCGTCCCTGAATTAAGAGAAAAACAAAACCATCAGTAACTTCACACAATGATACATCCATTTTTATTATTGCTTGTGAATCTAATAAATAGAAAACAATACCTCAGGAGCTCCTTGATGCTTCTGGAAAAGACTATCGATTCCACCTTGTCCGAATAGCTCTCCCGAGGGGTTAAACGCTGTACCAAAGAGCTCTTCATAATTCTCAAGTGCCATGTCAACCTCATCAATACCAAGGTTTGCATAAAAGTCATCTTCACACACTCCAACATCCTTCAAATCATAAACAAACAAGAACTCAAATTTAGTAAAACAGATAAATCCCACACAAGTGTAATAACATATCAATAAAAAAAAAAAAAAACGTATTACCTTAGCAAACGATGAATTCCCTTGTGCTGCAGAACCGGTTTCAGGCTTCGAAGAGGAGCCTACAACGATATCTTTCTTATCCTCATTACAGTTTTTATCGGTCGGACCATCATCGTCTATATTCATCATACCCATTTCTTGTTCACAAACGGATTGCCCGGCTAAGTCCAAACAGAAAGACCATATAGAAGCGAGCTCGGAGCTCGAAGGACAGCCAGAATAGCAACTTATGGTTTGCCTCTTATGATTCTGAGACGAAGAATTGCTGTTGTTGTGACCAGACCAATCACAGTTCTGACAAAGTGAAACCGTTTCTTCAACACACCTGACAGTTGCAGGCTGCGCATTGCATCTCTCGCAGACAAGTGTCCGAGAATGTCGTTTAGACAATGCGTTAGCGGAATGAACACTCCGGTCACAGGAGAGGCAAAGACACGCTGCATCGGATCGACAGTAAACCATTGATCTTTGTTCACCACAGAAGTCACACATGTAACCCATCTTCCTTCCTTCACTCTGACCAAATCAAATTCCTGCTATAT